CGGTGCCCCCGCGCCCCGTGGGCGAACCCCCCTCTCTTCGGCCCTCCCCCGCACAGTTTTTTCTCTATCTTTCCGTATCCTTCTCTGATATCCTCCTCCGACTCTCTGTCCTTGCCCCGACTTAATCGATGTCCAGTGCTGTTACACTAGCCACGCAACGTGTTGCAGTAAATATTATCTGTAATGTTTTCCATCTTTCTTGAAACGCACAGCCGGCGTAACGCTACCTCCTTCGAGTTATTCGTCGTCTAGGATTGATTCTAAAATGATTCCATTTTTTCATGCTCACGCATTTCCTCTATTGATTCTATGATTTTTCCCGCTAGTCGTCTACTCGGTCTGATCAACTGTAATCAAACACTGCATCACCAGCGCGGCAATGGTACATGCCGCACAGTGCGTACTTTCTTTCTCTGTCTCTTCTCGCTTACATATATTCTGTCCGTGTACATATGCTCTCTACGCTTCTCTGCCCATGCTCTCCTTCCGCGCCCTCTCACGACTTTATCTCTCTCTCTCTCCTCCGATCTTCTCCTCATCGTGTCTCTCTCTCTCTCTACCTCACTGCACGGACCAAAACCCGCTCCATATATCAGCATCTAGCAAGCTTAGAAAGCAATCGGCTGTTATTTGCGTAGCTTCGAAAACTATAGAGCGCATTCTTCGCAGCTGTCCGAGATATGTCATAGTCATACAGAGAAATGAAAGCAGTGTTTTGTGCAACCCCTCAGGGCGGCGAAACCCACGCGCAAAAGCGTCGGCAAGTGACTGTTATGAGCACGTCGGAATATAGCCGTGACAGCCGAGGGGGAAAAGACTCAGTCAGTAGTGATACCGCTGCCCCCAGTGACTCTCGTGGAATTTTAGCTATCGTCATCATCGTCGCGCTCGTTGAGCAGTGTGTGCGGCAGACGCCCGCAAGGAGCGCGCGGTTTGTTTACTCCTAACAACAGATTCATATACAGGTGGCGGTATGACAGGTAAAGAGTCCGGCGATTTTCACCGTTGCACTACTATCGTCTCTAGGAAAAGGCCTTTTTTGGCATTCTTTTTTTCGCCCGAAATTCCGGCAGTAGAGTGGGCAAATAATTAGCATGTGTGCACGCAAGTTGGGATGCCTGACGTGGACGTGGAGAACAGCATTAGAAGTAAATTATTTTTGTTGTGTATTCGCTGACATTCCGTCAGGTGGCCGTAGCCACAGTCACCGGTTGGTGTTTTTTTGTGTATGAATTGGTTGCAGACAACTTTGCAGAAATTCGCATCATAGAGCCTGGCAAAAGTTCGAGCGGAGCATAGAGCATTGAATCTGTAGTTATTTTAACATGAAATAAAGTGTTACTGTTTTGTAAGTGTACGTAACAGTGTGAGTATTTTTAATTAAGTTTCTGTTCGATGCCTTATTCAGGCCTGCAGCCTATGGAGGTCCTCTACTGTTGTTAACACCTTTAACCCAATGGTAAGGCAGTGGCGATTCTGCAGGAAGTCGATTAATTGTAGTTTTATATGTAATGAAAATCTGTTATGGGCGTGCTCTAAGCATGATTTTTAGTCACATGCATGTTATGCAAAAATCAACATTTTATGACATGTTTTTCTTGATGTAAACATGTACATTCGCGTGTACATATTTTACATGTATTACATAAAGATACACTCATATTTACACACATTTGGGCCAAAAAAATAGTAATTATCATTCGTTTTACTCTATTTGTGGCATCTGACTAAACCTAACAGTGGTCAAAATATCTTAACTTAAATGCTTGCGAAATTTACCGCTAAACCTGCGTTCTAAACTGACGCATAATCGCATGAAGGCGAACATTGATTCTCGTGTTTTTGGGGGGCCTCTTCAGAGAGCGATATCTCAGCTCGTGAGTCATCCACCTTTGAAAATTCGGTACGCCGTATAAGGAAAAGGGTCGAATCATTCATCTAAAATTTCGACAGTCGATCCGTATTATCTGCTGCTCCTTTTAAGGTGGCGTATAAATCAGTAAGAGTCCGCGCAATTGGTTCACCGTTGCACTAACTTCGTCTCTAGAAAGGCTTTTTTGGCATTTTTTTTCGCCGAATTCGCACTAGAGTGCAATAATTAGCAATTGTGCACGCAAGTTGGATGCCTCGTGGACGTGGAGAAATGATTAGAGAGTAAAATTTATTTTTGTTGTGTATTCGTGGACATTCCGTCAGGTGGCGTAGCCGCAACAGTCACCAGGTTGGTGTTTGTTTGAGTGGTATGAATGTGTTCAGGACAACTTTGGCAGAAAACTTCGCATCAATAGAGCGGCAAAAGTTTCGACGGAGCATAGAGCATGACTCTGTTAGTTATTTAACCATGAATAAGTGTATGTTTTGTAGTGTAGTAGACAGTGTGAGTATTTTTAATTAATTTCTGATTCGACATGACTTATTTCAGGCCTGCGAGGCCTATGGAGGCCCTCTACTGTTGTTAACCACCCCTTAACAATAAGGATGGGACACTTGGACACTTATATGTTGGGTCACGCGGCGACACTAGGCGCCGACAAGCGGTGAGTTAGGTCAGAACGGAAATTGCAGTGAGAAAGTATCAATATTGCCATCGTATTTTTGCGGCGTGGAAAACATCAGTGAGGGCCATGATACAGTGCCATATTTGAATGGTTCAGAAGAATATGGGGACACAGCAGCGAGAGGGGACTTTTCTCCCCCAGCCCAGAGCTGTTCCATGGCCTTGCACTTTACTGGAACCTTAGAATTTTTTTGGAGACGTAATGTCCAAAGGTTAGCTCTAATGCACATGACGTAAGGTGCGGCAGCCTTCTCATCCTCACTCTATTACAGAGACAGCACAGTCACTTAGCGTGCATCAAATAACGTATGCAAAGCCAAGATTAGTAACAAGCTTGGTTTGTAATATCCGCCTCCATACGCGTTCTCCGGTGAGAACAATTGTATGTTTGTAACGTTAGTAAGAGAAAGAACCGCAATTGGCTTCACCGTGCGTAATGGCAACATAATTGTTGTTGTGGTTGAACCTTACACGCCAGTCCGGTGCATGGGGGATGCAAGGATTCCCCTTGTTATCATTTCTGCTAGCGTGGTTACGAAGATATGGTTAATTGCTATAGTTAAATATGATAAAATATGTACCCGATATATATAGTAATTATTTATTGAATAATACTGCGATGAGAACAAATTCGGCTGCACGTAGTTTTTTTCTTGTTTCCTATCACCCACACCGGAAACACTTATTCCTCCGTTTCCCTCTCTATATAATTGGGCAAACCATTTAATTTATAATGCCGAATTGTAATGCTGATCTAATATCAATTTTGTTATCATCTTCATACAGTACTTTGGCAATATAACGTTTCATTATATTCAGGTGCCACAAAATATTGACTATACTTTTTTACATGCCACGATTATTCTACCAGGACGGGGTTATGGGCTGGCCTAATTATATTTATATGAACCGTTACACTGACGGTTTATATGACACCGTCTACACTGCCGCTGCGACTATGCTGATGTGCACACGAACGTTAACCCTGCTATATATATATATATATATATGAGTGTGTGTGTGTGTGTGTGGGCGTGCGTGCGTGCGTGCGTGCGTGCGTGCGTGCGTGCGTGCGCGCGCGCGTGTGTATGTGTGTGTGTGTGTGTGTGCGTGTGTATGTGTGTGAGTGTGTGTGTGTGTCTGTACGTGTGTGTATGCGTGCATGTGCATCCGTGCGTGGGTGCGTGCGTACGTGTGCTTATCTTGTACCGTATAGTTCGGATGAGTGCGAAAGGAATTTACGGTGAGAACGTTATCCGACTGATCATTGGTACATGAAACCAATTTGGAAGCTTTACATTGGATATTTTGACTTGGTCTATTAAGCCGATTTCATCAGAACGAAATCAACTTTAAGCAGAAGAAAAACAGTTAGTTGTGGCCTTGATGACCATTAGGAATTTTTTGTTTCAGAAAATACGATGAAACTCACGCAGGGTCTGGAGTAGAAATTGAGCTGCATTTGACCTCGCTCAAGCATGTAGCATGCGCGTATGTGCGCGTGCATGTGTCTGGGCCGAGTGTGCTAGAAAAAGAGGACGATTTTAACCCGAAACATTCTTAGTTCCGTTGAAGGATTTAGGAACGAAATGCATGTTAATGCACAAGCCCATAGGTCTTCGAATTAATTCTCCACGCTAAATATCGACACTCCCTCTTTCACTCCACGTGTCGTGGTAATTCTATCACGAATTCGACACATTTCCGCAGTGTCTGTGTGACGTCATCAGCTGTTCCGTTAACACCCCGTGGGACAAAAAACCCTTATATAGAACCGCGGCAAAAAGAAACGCCCTATTGTTCGTGTTCACGCCGACATGTGGCGCTGGCGTCGCGGTCGGACGTGTACGCGATAACTCGTGGACGCGATTTTGCTCGATCGCCGTTATTGTCTGCGACAGATGCGATGTAATTTTATCGCCTGAACAGGAAATGAGGTTTTCGTTGTGTAGCGATAACTTGTTGCGATAGATTTGAAGCGCTCGAAATCAGTCGAGTTGTCGTAATGAAGGTACGGCGATGTTTACAGCGAAAACAGCCGGATTCTCCCGTGCAGACCATTCTGTTATTTTCAATTAAACTCGTGGACATTCGAGCGACGAATTCGGTCGCTTCCGACAGAGTTCGGCACCTTCTTTCGAGCAATGTTAGCTCCGTAGTTTAAAGCCAGGAATATGAAAAAAGTTGGTAACGTTACAAATTAAAGTTAGAAATAAATGACTGGGAAATGGTAACCCTACCTGCAAATCTAATCCTAATCCTAGTTTTAATCCTAACATTCGCCCTAACCATAACCCTAACCCTAATCATAACTACAACCATAACTCTAACCCATTCTAAACCAAACATTACCCTTATCTCATATGCTGTGCGAAATATGTATGCGGAATCTAACATTATTCACTCGGATTGTAAGCTATTTGAAGGCAGTTAACTCGGGCAGTCAACCGTCCTGAATTATAGCAAAAGAGAAACGTGGGAGAAATCACCATATATTACCATACCACAAGTCTATCTTTCAGATCATTATCTGAATATCCATAATCCGACTATATGTACTTGAACCAGAATACATCGATGTCAGTCTGTTACACTAGCAGCAACTGTTGGCAGTAAATATTATCTGTAATGTTTTCATTTTCTTGAGACGCACAGCCGCGTAACGCTACCCTCGAGTTATCGTCGTCTAGAATTGAATTCTAAATGATTCCATTTTTTCATGCTCACCAATTTCCTCTATTGACTTCTATGATTTTCTCCGCTAGTCGCTACATCGTCTGATCAATGTAATCAGAACTACGCATCACAGCGCGGCAAGTGGTACATGCCCACAGTGCGTACTTTCTTTCTCTGTCTCTCTCGCTTACATTTTCTGTCCGTGTAAGTATCTCTCTAGCGCTTCTCTCCCATCTCTCTTCCCCGCCCTCTCACACTTTATCTCTCTCTCTCTCTCTCTCTCTCTCTCTCTCTCTCTCTCTCTC